ACGTGTGGGGTTTTCCCCTCCATTAATTGACACTTCTTCAGGAACTTATACAGCGTGCTTATAACACAGTGCCTGGAACACAGTAAACATCTAGTCAGTAAATGTGACCTGTTATTTCAAGGGATCGATGATATATTCACCCTAGTACCCAGCCTGCAGCAGGGAGTCAGTGAACTAGTGGGCTGATTCAGCTGCAAAGTAACAAGACTAAAGACAGCACAAGTGTGGAAATACAGCGATTTTCTTTATAAAACTTGAATCACTCTAACAAGTTGAATTTAATTTACTTCAAATAAATACAGAATGCTGACCATGACGTAATCATAATAAAGCATTATTTATGTTTAAAATGTTCCACAAATATCAATTGTTTTTTTCTTTTTATGTATTTTTTTTTTTGAGTCAGGATCTTGCTCTGTTGCTCAGGCTGGACTGCAGTGGTGCAGTCATGGCTCACTGCAGCATCCAGCTCCTAGGCCCAAACAATCCTCCCACCTCAGCCTCCCACAGAGCTGGAATTATAGGCTTGTGTCACCATGCCCACAAATTAATTTTTTTTTTTTTGTAGGGACAGGGTCTCACTACGTTGCCCAGGCTGGTCTCAAACTCCTGGGCTCAAGCCATCCTCAGGGTGAGTCTATAAAGTGAAAGCAAGTTTATTAAGAAAACAAAGGAATAAAAGAATGGCTATTCCATCCACAGAGTAGCCCTGAGGGCTGCTAGTTGCGCATTTTTACGGTTATTTCTTGATGATGTGTTAGATGAGGGGTGGACTATTCATGTCTGCCCTTTTAAGACCATGTAGGGTAACTTCCTGATGTTGCCATGGCATTTGTAAACAGTCATGGCGCTGGTGCGAGTGTAGCAGTGAGGATGACCACAGGTCACTCTCATCACCTTCTTGGTTTTGGTGGATTTTGGCTGGCTTTCTTTACTGCAATCTGTTTTATCAGCGAGGCCTTCCTTTATGACCTGAATCTTGTGCCAACCTTCTATCTCATCCTGTGCCATCTTAGAATTTAGCCCAGTACATTTCAGCCTCATTTTACCCAGCTCCTATTCATGATAGAGTTGTTCTGGTTCAAACGCTTCTGACAAGACCAAAGCAAAATCCAAGTGATCCACAGTGGTGGTGTGTATGCACGCATGTGTGTATTTAAATCTAAGCACAGTGTGAAGTAGCACACTGTTGGTTTTAGAGGAAATATAAAGATGATCTGGCCTGGTGCAGTGGCTCACACCTGTAATCCCACCACTTTGGGAGGCTGAGATGGGCAGATCGAGAGGTCAGGAGTTCCAGATCGGCCTGGCCAATATGGTGAAACCCTATTTCTACTAAAAATACAACAATTAGCCGGGCGTGGTGGCGGGCGCCTGTAATCCCAGCTACTCAGGAGGCTGAGACAGGAGAATCGCTTGAACCTGGGAGGTGGAGGTTGCAGTGAGCCGAGATGGTGCCACTGCCTGAGGGACAGAGTGAGACTCCGTCTCAAAAAAAAAAAAAAAAAAAAAGATGTCCTATTCCTTGTTTCTGGAGAGTGGCTTATTTTGAAGAGGAATTGAAATGCAAACCAGGGTCCTGGGGCCTTTTGTCACCAACACCTCTCAAGTTGCAATGGAGGGTGGTGTTCCCTGGGAGGAGGGTCAGAGCCTTGTCTTCCCAGCCCCACGGAGGACACCTTCAGGACAGTGCCTCCACCTGGAAGAGGGGCAGCTTTATACAGTCACCATCTTCATCTAGAAATCACATGTGAAAACTGGTGGGAGGGCAGGGCCCAGCTCCATCCTGCACACACTCCTCTGAAACGTGCAGAAAACTCCCAGCAGCAAGATCCCAAGCAGCATAGATGGTGACGGGAGCAAAACATCCTGTTCTCTAGCTTTCCAAAACAAGCTTTGCCATTTTCAGCTGCGTGTAAAGGAAATAAAACACCTACCCGTCCTAAGCAGGCAACATGTGTACCTTCAAGTTTCTCCAAAGCGCCAGCATCTCTGAACACTGTCTTTTCATCCTTGAGCTAATTATTCCAACTCCAGTCAGGAGTGGTTTTACCCGGTCGACACTAGAGGGCAGGCCGTTAAAACGTTCCCGTTCAAAAAAGTTGCTCTGCAAGTGCAAGAGCCGACACGGTCCGCTCGGTATCTGAAAGGTGGCTTCACCCACGGAGAATGTGAGTGTGCGTTCGGAGAGGGGCAAAAGCGTGGGAAGCCTGCCACTGCCTTCCTTTTGGGGCATATTTACAGCAAAAGCCCGTAGACTCGCCTGCTCCTCCCTTAGATTTATTTTACTTGGGACTTTCTAGAAGTGGAGGAATAAATCACAATGGCCAGTGCGGGCGGGTCCCCAGGGGTTTAGCCCCCGCTAATGGATAGCAGGAAGGGACTAAATCAGCCTCCTCTCATTAGTGGCAAGTTTACAAGAGAGCCACTCAGCACAAACACTCCAAAGCAAGCTGTACTTAATCCTTCAAGAAGTCCTAAGAACTGTCATTTTATTAAGTTAGAGACAGGGTCTTGCTGTGCCATCCAGGACGGAGTGCAGCGGTGCGATCAGAACTCACTGCAGCGTGAAACTCTCTTGCTCCAGCCTCCAAGTAGCTTGGAGTACAGGTGCAGAACGCCAGGTCCAGCTAATTTAAAAAAAAAGTTCTTTTTTAGAGATGGGGTCTTGCTATGTTGCCCAGGCTAATTCTGAACTCCTGGCCTTAAGCAATTCTCCTGCTTTGGCCTCCCAAAGTGCTGGGATTACAGGTGTAAGCCACTTTGTCTGGCCTAAAACTGTAATTATATAAACTGTCTGTGGCAAACCCCTCCAAACAAAAAGGCACGGGTGAGCCCAAGGATGGCTTTGCTCCCCGTTGAGTTTGGCTTCTCTGCCCTGCTCTCTGCCCCCACTCGCCCCCCCATCCCCTAGCTCTGACTGCCTTGTCTGTTACCCATGTGTATATTTTCTATCGATTTTATTGTGTCATCATGATAAAGCCAATGTTAATGTATTTTTCAGGCAAATGCTGCATTTTTCTCCTCACTCCGGAAACAGGCAGCACCTAGAAGCAGCTCCATGGCCTCCCTGGAGACGGCGCTGGCCATGAAACCCTGCTGGCCAGTGTTTATGGAGGGCTTCCCAGTTCTTCGTTGGAGGTCTAAACAAGATTTCCCTAGAGAAGGAGGGCTTCGCGGAATAAATGACAAAAAGAGCTGGGGTGGCCTGCCAGGTCACTGGGCTCCAGCTCCTCATCGTTCAGCCCACAGGCTTCCCAGGGCGCCTGTCCAAGCCAGCCCGAAACAGATGAAACTGCAAAATCACTCCATTCCTGCCCACACAAACACAGGGAAATGAATTCTCACTTTGCATAATAAGAAAAAGCCAAGAGACACTTTAAGAATCCCCTTGAGGAAAGGACAACTGGGACCTGTGGCAGGAAGAGGGCTGAAAGAAAAGTCCAGGATTATTATTCCCTGGGAGAAGGAAGAGGAAGGACAAAGGAAATGTACTTCAAGTACTTCATGATGCCAAATTCTCATTAATTCCTGAGTTCATGTTTAAAAACTGTATATTTTTAAATTATACAAGCAATGATGTTAGTGGTAACCAGTCCAATAACGGAAATAGAGAAATTTAATAAGCTTCCTCTAAAGTCGAATTCTACACACTGAAGAAACTTCCTACAAGTTTCTGCGTTTTATAGACAAAGCATCCTTTTACTTCTGAGCTGTCATTTTTGTTTTCTTTTTTGGCTTACAGTTTGCAACAAGCAATGAGGGCCAATGTAGACAATAAGAAAACTCAAGAGGGGCCGGGCGTGGTGGCTCACACCTGTAATCCCAGCACTGTGGGAGGCCGAGGCAGGCAGAGATCACGAGGTCAAGAGATCAAGACCATCCTGACCAACATGGTGAAAACCCGTCTCTACTAAAAATATAAAAATTAGCTGGGGGTGGTGGTGTGCGCCTCTGGTCCCAGCTATTCGGGAGGCGGAGGCAGGAGAATTGCTTGAACCTGGGAGGTGGAGGTTGCAGTGAGCCGAGATCATGCCACTGCACTCCAGCCTGGCGCCTGGTGACAGAGGGAGACTCTGTCTCCAAAAAAAAAAAAAAAAAAAGAAAAGAAAACTCAAGAAGCAGGGGATTGGCCATCTCCAATTACCACTGATAAATTTCCTTAATATCTAAATAACATTGTTGTTCAAATATCCGGGAAATGAGGCAAAATGTTTCTTGAGCAAGTCTGACACTATGTTGTCAGGATCTAAGTGTGTTATACGAACCTTAAAATTTGTTTTCATTTGATCTTTGAAAAAAGTCTTTAATCAGTTCTAACAACAGAAGTCTTCTGCAGTGATAATTCACAATGAAAGACATTTAAGCTGACATTTCCCAAATGGGTTTTTAAGATTCCGGCTCCAAGAGACTGTGAGAAATTATTTTCTTATAAAAAAGGTTGTGAATATCATCAACATTTATCTAAGCCCATAAGTCATAAATCCCAGCAGGCATTAAATTTTCAAGGGAGCTTTTAAATCATACATACCCTAGGTCTCCCACTCCAGAACTGCTAGGGGTAAGGTCTGGGGAATCTGGATTTCACATGGTCCCTGAGTGACCGTAACCAGCAGATGACGACCTTATGGGCAGGGATTTCCTACATATGGGGCTCTGGCATCTGTGTCTTGTCAGTCAGCATTTGAAAGTACAAAGAAATGCCCTTCCCAATTACAAAATCTTACCTCTCCATTTCCCCTCCTAGAAAACTGGATTCCAAGAGCAATGCTTCTCAAAGGGTAGTTCCCAAGCAGCATCACCTATGATCTTATCAGGATACAAATTCTCCGTCCCCACCCCAGACCTACCAAGTTAGAAATTATGGGCATGGAGCAAACACACTCATGTGTTTAACAAGTCCTCCCAGGGATTCCAACACCTGCTAAAGCCTAAGAACCACTGGATTCAAAAATTTCACAATTTCAAGAAAGAAGTAACGAAGACAGACACAACTCCACGTAAGGTAGAACCAAGTTTATTAATGACAGCCTTTATTACAACCACTCTCAAGTGTAAAAAATAAAGGGTGATTAATTAATATTTAAAACTCGCTCAGACTTGCTGTTTGGCCTTTCAGTGGATATGCCAAAGAGCAGGGATCTTGCCTGATTCTGAATCAACTGACCAGATGGAGTTCACTGGAGAATGAGGCAGTCAACAAAAAGACAAACAATGCCGACTGGAGGGCTCATGTCTACTCCGTGCTGGAAGGACATTACAAAATGGCAACTGTGGTGGGGACAGAGATGAAACAAGACAATCTTACAGTCAGAGTAAGACGTGAACACCTTTACCTATACAGAGACAAAAACACACACATGCAGAGCCATACACACACCCAAACTGTGAACACAAGCTTTGAAAAGAATTTCCTCTCTGTTCTTTCTCTGAGCAGACTGACACATTCATCAGCCACCACAATGCACCATGGGGCTGAAATAGAAAACCTTGCTTAATTTTCACTAAGTATGCTAGCTGGCTGCCCGGGATGTGCTGGCAAATCTGTCTGCACCGTAAAATGTGCCTGTGGTTTTCCCAGCATTCCACAGACTGATACCTGCTCCCCAGGAGGGCAGCATCCGGTGGACACCAACTGGATTAAAATCTAGACGGCAAGACTCGTCCCTCCCACCTCAAGTGCGGGCAGGGGCGGCAGCACCAGGAAGTGGTTTCCCACTTTGTGTTACAGAGTACTTGCCCCAGTTCAACGCATTCCCCTCCAAAGTATTTGTGCTTTGATACCATCCTGATGGTTAGTCTGCCTAAGAGAACTGAAGGAGCTATGGCCATGCACTATTTTCTTTTTTTAATAAAAGCAAACTAAAACTGGAAGAAGAAAAAGAAACCATTTAGAAGCTTTTTGATCATGTCAATGTTGTTTCAAAATTGGGTTTAATTCCATTCACAGAGAAAGAAGGGGAGGGTGCAAAAGAGGCCACTCAGATCGACTGTGGAAGAGAGTGACAGCCCATGGAAGCATGTGCGATGGCACAGCTGGTCTCTCCCCAGCCAGGCTGGGAGGACATGCCTCAGCCTCCCAAGACTGTGAAACTAGGAAATAAGTGCTGACCAAATAACATACTTAAATGTTTGCAGAAAAGCTGGCAGGAAAGGGAGACAATGGAGTCAGATTCACAGGTCATGCAGGTTAAGATTTTATCAAAATGAATGCTTGAGCTGAGTAAGAAAACATCAAAATTTCAGTGGAACCGTATCATAGCGTTCACCTTTGGGAGACGAAAAACAACAAACAAACAAAACAAAATGACCCAGAATATTCCAGAGTTTCCAAAAATCCAACTGCTAATTTTGGCAGGGTGAGAAGAAGGGGGTATTTAACTAATTCCTCTTCATTAACCTCGTTTTCTCCTTGAATTTCACTGATAAACAAAGCTCAGGCCTACTTAGAAAAAAGGTCAGTCCTGCTAAAATACAGCATCATGAAGTCTTCCGATGTTCTCGCTCGGTGCACATGAAATACATAATTTCTCTTATAAGGAGACTTTCCAGGATAGGCCAAGTGTGCTTGCCCAAGTGACTTGTTGAATACCATCACAAAACGTGAACCCAAGGACGAGTTGTTTTCTTTTTCAGATGAGAGTTGCAAGTGTTTCCTAAAACATACATGGAGGGATGCTGACAGACCAGTGCCCTCCCAGGCGAGGGGCCGACTCTTTGAGGAGATGCACTCCTATGGGCCATGGAACAGAAGGTGGTCCGTCCAAGGTGGGGCGAAGAGCAAAGCTGCCTCTCCCAGCCCTCCAATTACGGAAGGAGAGGACAAGACTGTATTTTCCACAAATTCAAGTACATCTGGGTCCCCCGCCCTCCCTTCTTCTCTTTTTTGGTAAGCATCCAACCATCCATCAATTCATGGCTACAGTAGAGATTCATGGCGCAACGACTTTCATACTGGTTATTTATTTTTTAAAATTCTGTCAGTGAGCAGCATTTCCCAGTTTTACACCCCCCTAATGGCAGCTCCATTAGGCGAGACTGCAGGCTGCACTCTGATTAGGTCCATGCAGCTTGGACATCAGTTCGGCACGCGGGAGGGTCCCGAAGGTGGGTCTGTCCAGTGTCTTGCAGCAGCGGTTGCCGGGGCTCTACCAGCTCGCCCTGACAGCTTCAATATCGCTAACCAAATTCTGGGCCAGGCATATCCCAAAAATCTGAGAAAGGGAGAAAATGTGAGTCAAACAGTGGCTCTTAACTTCGTTAGGCTCTTCCCTGGCCACTATGTCCCATTTTTTTAAATCGTTGATCTTTGAAATTTAAGATGTAATTCGTATGCGGTAAAAAGCATCCTTGTAATGTGTATACTTCAGTGGCTTTTAGTATATTCACAAAGCTATGCAACTATCACCACTATCTAATCACAGAACATTTCATTACCCCAACAAAAAATCCTGTACCTGTGAGCAGTCATTCACATCCCACGATCCCTACAGAACTGGCAAACACTTTCTGCCTCTGTGGATTGCCTCTTCCAGACTCTTCATATCAAGTGAATCACATAATATGTGGCTTCTGTGACTGTTTTTTTCATGCAACAAAATATTTCCAGGGTTCATTCACATGTACTATTAATGTATTCATTTTGATGGCTGAATGGTATTCCACTGCATGGACATGCCACATTTTCTTTATCTACTCCTCAGTTGATGGGTATTTGCATTGCTCTCATATTTTGGCAATTATGAATAATTCTGCTATGAACATGAGCACACAAGTTTTTGGGTAAACATGTTCTCAATTCACTCCTAGGAGTAGAATTGCTGGCTCATATGGTAGCTCTGTATTTGACTTTTGAGAAACAGCTACATTGTTTTCCAAAGAGGCTGCAATGTCTCATATCCATCAGCAATGTGAGGGTTCCATTTTCTCCACATCCTTGCCAATACTTGTCATTGTCTGTCTTTTTTATTCTAACCACTTTAATGAGTATGAGGTATGTGGCTTTGAATTGCATTTCCTTAATGAATAATGACGTTGGTATCTTTTCATTGTGTGTGTGTGTGTGTGTGTGTGTATTTTTTAAATAATTTAAGAGACGGGGTCTTGCTCTGTTGCCCAGGCTGGAGTGCAGTGGTGTGATCAGAGCTCAATGCAGCCTCAAAGGCCTGGTTTCAAGAAATCCTCCTGCCTCTGCTTCCCAAGCAGCTGGGATTACAGGGACAAGGCACCATACCTGGCTGCCCGTTTTTAACTTGTCTTTTTATTGTTACATTTTAAAAGTTCTTATATTTTCTAGATACTGGAAGTTATCTTTTCACTTTCTTGATGGTAGCATTTTCAGCACAGAAGGTTTACATTTTGAAGTCCAATGTATATACATTTGTTTGGTTGCTTATGCTTTTCATGTCACATCTGAGAAGACACTGCTTAATCCAAAGTCACAAAGATTTATGCCTGTGTTTCCTTCTGGTGTTCGACAGTGTTAGCTCTTATATTTAGGTCTCTGCTTAATTTTGAGTTAATTTTTACATATGGTGTCAGTTAGGAGTCTTATAAATTCATGATTTTGCATATCCAGTTTTCCCACTACCATTTGTTGAAATGGCTGCTCTTTCCCTATTGAATGGTTTTTGTTCCCTTGTCAAAAATCAACTGACCATAGATGTACAAGCTTATTTCTTCTTTTTTATTTTTTATTTTTGATACAGGATCTCACTCTGTCACCCAGGCTGGAGTGCAGTGGCGTGATCTTGGCTCACTGCAATCTCCCAGGCTCAGGCAATCCTCCCACCTCAGTCCTCCAAGTAGCTGGGACCACAGGCATGCGCCACCATGCCTGGCTAATTTTTGTATGTTTTATAGAGACAAAGTTTTGTCATGTTGCCCAGGCTGTTCTCAAACTCCTGAGCTTAAGTGATCCACCTGACTCAGCCTCTCAAAGTCCTGGAATTACAGGCATGAGTCACTACACCTGACCTTATTTCTTCTATTTTTTCTTTTTTTTTTTTTTGGAGACAGGGTCTTGCTCTGTCATCCAGGTTAGAGTGCAGTTTCACAATCATGACTCACTGCAGCCTCAACCTTCTAGGCTCAAGCAATCCTCCCACCTTGGCCTGCTGAGGAGCTAGGACCATTGGCATGCGCCATCACGTTTGGCTAATTTTTTTTATTTTTACCTTTTGTAGAGAAAAGGTCTTGCTATGTTGATCAGGCTAGTCTTGAACTCCTGGGCTCAAGCCATACTGCTGCCTTGACCTCTCAAAGTGCTGGGATTATATCCATAAGCTACCACACCTGGCCTGGTTTTATTTCTTGATTTTCAATTTATTCCACTGATCTATATGGCTAACCGTACTCAAGTACACACTATATTGATTACTATATAGCTTTGTACTAAGTTTTGAACTGGGTAATATGAATTCTCCAACTTTTACTTTTGCAAATTTGTTTAGGCTACTATGGGTCCCCTGCTTTTCCATATGAATTTTAGGATCAGCTTGTTCATTTTTGCTAAAAAGGTGGTTACAATTTTGATAGGGATTATACTGAATCTGTAGACCACTTTGAGGAGTGTTGTTATCTTAAAAACATGAAGTTTCATAATTGTGAACACATGGTATCTTTATATTTACTTGGGTCTTCTTTAATTTCTTTCAACTATGTGCTCTAGGGAAAGTATCACACCAACAACAAGAAGAATCCAGCGCTTGAGACTGGCAGGAAGAAAAGTGCTCCCTTCCCTCACTAGCACTTTGGCAAGGTGATTCAGGGAGAGAAAGGGTTATGACATCTCTGTGAAACTCCCCAAAACCTTAACCTCACCACTGAGATCTACTTCTAACTATGCATGTTTGACTCAGTTGCCACAATGCAGTATTATTGAGCCCAAGTAAATGACAGAATGCCAGCAGGCAACCACTGATCTAATCAATGTCTCCATCTTAGAAAAGTTTTCCTCAAATATTTCACGATAGTAGCATCTAAACTCAGAGCTTTAATAAAACACAAACCAAATCATTTAGGTCCATTCCCTAGCTCTCCAATGTGTCTTAAAAACAGGAAGGTTTTTGTTTTCCTTTTTTTTAGATAGATAGGGTCTCGCTTTGTTGCCAAGCTAGAGTGCAGTGGCATGGTCTTGGCTCACTGCAACCTCCGCCGCCCGAGTTCAAGTGATTCTCCTGTCTCAGCCTCCCGAGTAGCTGGGACTACAGTCGTGTGCCACCAGGCCCGGCTCATTTTTGTATTTTTAGTAGAGACAGGGTTTGGGCATGTTGGCCAGGATGGTCTCAATCTCTTGACCTTGTGATCTGCCCGCCTTGGCCACCCAAAGGGCTGGGATTACAGGTGTGAGCCACCGTGCCTGGCCCCTGACGGGAAGGTTTTTAAGCAAAGCTTCGATCCTGGCAAGGGCTCTCCCTGTGATATCCATAAAGGACCCTTATCTTACCTGCAGCAATGCAATGCCTATGAAAATACCAGCCACGATGGTTAAATTGTCCTGCAACCACTTCTCAAACTGGGGCACACAGCCTTTCGTGTAGATTACAATCTGCTGGTCAACTTCCTTCACAAGGGAAGAGGAGAGCACACTGTCACAGATAGAGCACCAGGGACATGCCAAAGCTCCTCCAACACCCTTTGTGCTAAGCAACAAGATGAGATTCCACTTACTGGTTTTTGCCTGGCATCATAGCCACACTGAGTGTTGATGACATCTTCCTGAAGAGGAAAGGAAAGAGAAAAGTGAAATTTACTCATTAAACAGAAAGCCCACCTAGAAATGAGCAGAAGACCTCTGTTACGCATTGCTAATAAAACGTGTCTCTGAGCACAAAGACTGTAGCACCATGTTAAACACTTTATACACGGGACCTCATGTCATTATTCTGACAATCTTCAGAGGTAGGTATTAAAATATGCCCTCTTTTACAAAGAAGGAAAATTAAGGCTTGGGGAATATCAGAAAAGACAGCAAGTCTATCACACAGGAGCCTCAAGATTCAAAGTACTGCCAACCCCAAGAAGCTCATGGGATATAGGGAACTGGAGACACAGATAAAAAACATAACCTAACTCTTCATGTGTGCTCTTTTGGATGGACTGCTACTTTTTAATCTATATACTTCTGTGTTAAATGGTTTTTCGATGAGCTTTTAATAATTAAAAAACAAAACAGTGCCCCATCACATATCACACGGACAACCTGACGTCTCACAGGGTCTAATCAGAAGCATGGGTTCCACTTTTTTAGGTTAGTTGATTTTCCTCCTCTGTGGGGTATGGGGCAGACTTTACTAGCTTGGAGCGCAAGGCATGAGATAGCTCTACCCAGATGATGTGTAGGTGAAAGAGGAAGCATTCATGCCTCTGAGAATCAGGAATTCTCCTGAGGGAGTGTTCACGTAGGACAGGAACTGGCGACAGGAGACGTGCTGTGCGGCACCGGCTGGCCAGTGCGAGGCCAGCAGGATGAACCCCTTGGGCTCTAAGCGGGCATTCTGCTGCCATGCGGCCCTCCTCAGAGGGGAGAGGGAAACAAGCTGGTGGGAAAGGGCAGCCGGCGGGGCAGCACAGTCCTTAGTGACTCTGTCTCCTCCTCAGACCAAGAGAAATAGCCAAGGTGGTCCCCGGCGGGGGGGTGGCCTGCAAGAAGTTCTGCTTTTCCACTTCTTTTCCAAGACCACAGCTCTTTTTAAGAGCCTGACGGCCTCCACCATAGGAAGGAGCATCCCCACTGAGCTCGTCAGCACCCACTCGGCTCTGCTTCTGGGGAAAAGGGCGAGCCTTGAGGAGTACATTTGGGGACTGCAGGGTCAGAGAATGGTTGAGGAGACCGAGAAGAGCTCTGTGGTTAGGAGCACACACAGATGTGCAGAGTAACCCCTCATGTTTGTCATGCTAACACTAGAAAGTTCCTTTTTTTTTTTTTTTTTTTTTTTTTTTTTTGTTTGTCTTTTTGAGACTAAGCCTTGCTCTGTTGCCCAGGCTGGAGTCCAATGGCACAATCTCAGCTCACCACAACCTCTACCTCCTGGATTCAAGCGATTCTCCTGTCTTAGCCTCCCAAGTAGCTGGGACTATAGGCATGCGCCACCACCCCGAGCTAATTTTTGTATTTTTAGTCGAGACAGGGTTTCACCATGTTGGCCAGGATGGTTTCAATCTCTTGACCTTGTGATCCAACTGCCTCGGCCTCCCAAAGTGCTGGGATTACAGGCATGGGCCACTGCACTCAGGCCTGAGTGCAGTGGTGCAATCTTGTCTCATTGCAACCTCCACCTCCCGGGTTCAAGCAATTCCCCTGCCTCAGCCTCCCGAGTAGCTGGGACTACAGGCACATGCCACTACACTCAGCTAAGTTTTTTTAAATTTTAGTAGAGACAGGGTTTCACCATGTTGGCCAGGATGGTCTCGATCTACTGACCTCGTGATCCACCCGCCTCAGCCTCCCAAAGTGCTGGGATTACAGGCATGAGCCACCATGTCTGGCCTTTTTCTTTTTTTTTTTAAAGAACTGTGGTCTCACCATCACCCAGGATGGAGTGCAGTGGCATGACCATGGTTCACTGCAGCCTCCAACTCCTGGGCTCAAGTGATTCTCCCATCTCAGCCTCCAGGATAGCTGGGACCACAGGTGTGTGCCACCACACATGGCTAATTTTTTAAGTTTTTTGTAGAGATAGGGTCTCACTCTGTTGCTCAGCCAGGTCTTTAACTCCTGGGCTCAAGGGATCCTCCTACCTCAGCCCCCAAAGTGCTGGGATTACAGGTGTGAACTACTATTCCTGGCTTAAGAATTGCATTTTAAGTCATTCTATGTAACCGGCACAAGATTTGATCCAAAACATAATCAAACCTGTGGCAAAAGAGAGTAATTTATAAATGGATTTTATATTTTATTCTTTTTTTAAAATAAAATGCAAACTGCGATTCCTGTCATTATGACTCCCAAGAGTCTGGCCGCTGCGGTCTTTCTCCACAGCCGTCCAGCCCTGTCTTGTCTGGGACTCTCCTTCTACTCCTAATATTTCCCCTAGAACTGAGCCCAAAAGAAAAGGGTTACTAACCCCAAACCAATGCAGACAGTTCTTATAGGAGCCTGCCCTTCTCATAAAGAAAGACTAAGGGATACAGGTGGCTGCCTAGGTCTCATACTCCACTCCATCACCTGCAGGCAGTGGACGCCTGGGAAAGTCACTTACACCTCGTGTGCCTTGATTTCTTCCCCTGAAAAGGGAGGGTAATGGTGGCATCTGCCGGTAGGAATGTTTCCAACTTAAAGGCTTAGAATAGGAAAGAGCACGCACTGCTAAATTAATACCAGCAACTATTACTCCTACTAGGAAGATTTGAGCACTGTACCCCCTACAGAAGCTACAATTAGGAGTAACCAGGTGAGAAGAGGTTTCAACAAAAAAATCACTCTGCCCATCCCATGCATACTCTCAGCTTGATGTCCAGAGTAGGCCAATAGTTCATTGGCATTCACTTACTGCAGGGTCTTTAGTGCAGCAGGAGAATGGAACGCCACATCGCTCTCGACTTGCATTGGAATCTGTGCAATTGAAGTAAATATTTAGGTTCCAATCATCAGCTCCAAAAGCCCCACAGCACTGCCACTAGAGCAAACAGGAAAGAATTAGAACATCCCAACCAACTTGGAGGCAAGCAGGTGCCTACACTCACACCCGCCGAACAACACCCAGCTTCTGCCAGTTCTGACCTTTTCTGTCCCAGACTTTATTTTTAAGTCAAACTGAACCTAAATGGCCCATATAAAAGCTTCCAAAGTAATTAAGGCTGAAGGTTTGTAGGGATGTGTTGGCACATGATTTAAACGACTGATGAGATCCGTGGTGTTAGGTGGAGGAAGGGCAGAGCAGCTGCACAGCAGGGCTCAGTTAGAACAAGATCTGTTTGGCTTGGGCATGTCATTCTAGAAGGAGAAACGAACATTCTAGAAGGGTAAATAAGACACCAACAACAGTGGTAGTGACCGAAGGAGGCAATGGGGTTATGGGTGGGCTACTATATGCTTACTTTTTTAAAGTTTGGATATCTACATTCTAATGGTTCGTTAAATGTCTGATTTGTTTTATGGTGGTAAAACTGAAATGCAATAATCTGCACATTTTAAAGCATACAATTTGACAAATTTTGACATCTGTGTATATCACAAAACCATCACCACAATCAAGAAATATATAGTTAATATATCCATTACCGCCAGAAATTTTAGAGCTTTACTTTTCACATTTGTTTCTACTCTGAATTTGTTTAAAAACAAGAGCATGTGTTTTACATTTTCAACTTAAAAATGTCAGTCTTCCAATTAAAATATAATAAAACAATTGTTTACATTCAGCGGTTCTTAAATGCCGCCTGAGTCAAAGGCTGCTACACAGCCCTGTCCTCACTCCCCTGGGATGTACTTTCTCTACTTTTCCGAGTTAAAGAAGTATCAAGCCTCAACCATTTGGAGACTTTCTGGGCCAATAGCAACTTCTAAACATTAAATTCCATGATGCAAAAATAAAATCACATGAAATCACAGTGTGCACACAGCATTCCAAGGCAACATGGTCCTTCCAAGGCTTGGGGTGTGCATTTCGAGGTGTGTCCACAAAGCTCCATCAAAGTGGCATCAAGCCAGTCAGGAATAATGCCTGGGAAGGGATTATTAGGGAGCCTGAACCCACTAGGACCGAATAAAACAGTGAAGTGGGCTGAGGACATGAATCAGGGCTTAATTTCCCACTTAAGGTACAACTTACTCCAGGACGGATGTTGCTGCCACCGATCAAAACCACATAACGCAGCTCAGTCCTGAGTGCCTAAGGAAGGGGGTGGCCTCCCTTGTGACAAGTGTTGACATGGCTGCTGCCTCCCTTCATCAGAGGTAGAAAACTGTGCAACCCCAAGCAGGCTACTGGTTCACTGGGCTTCTGCTTGCTCTCTGGTCCTGACATACACATGAATGCCACAGACACCACTATCCAAATCTGCTCAGCCTACCTGACTTTTCAGTGCAGGCACATAAACACCTGCAAATCCTTAAGCCTAATATCAAAATATGTATGCCTCATCAGAGTGTCATAATATCCCTGCGTGTTAGACAGTAGCTAGTATTACTTCCATTTTACCACTGGGAAAATAGGTCAAGGTCCCGTGAGCCCAGGGTCCCTTATCAGATTTTGGCACTAGACCTGTGTCTTTTGGTCTCTTGCATTCTGAGTGAAACGAGACATCTGTCACTTTGCTGGCACTGAAGACACCATTTCTCAGGCATGCTCAGGGACCAGAGGGAGTGGCCCGGGCTCCACTGCGCAGATTCTTCACTTGTTAGAAGCCACTGTGCCGTAGGAATTTCTAAGCTTATGCTTTTAACTGCATGTGCAATAATATTTGGATAAGCACATTTTAGGAACTTTGTGGCAAATTATTCTGTTAATAAGTAGATTATTATAAGCTGTGAAATACCAAAGATTACCAAAAAAGGGGCAAAGCATAAGAAAGATCCGTATTTAATAACCAAAGAAAACTTTAAACCTGGAGCAAAACAATGTTCCTGAAATACAAATAGGAAGGGACATGCATGATTAGAACCTTTTGCTCAAGCATCTTCTTCTTTGTTCCTCTAACTTAACGGAAGTTGAAACAAGTGAAAATGGGACATTTCCATTTAGAATAGAAATCCTATAAGTCATACAGCAAGTCGGAAAATAATAAACAGAAACCCACGCAGCACAGTCAGGTAGTTTCCAGCCGGCAGACGGAAACCAGGAAGGATATTCAGTGGGGTCATCGTTCAGAGAACTTTAACTTGAAAACAAACCAACCAGTTCAAACTTACATATTCCTGGGTGAAGTCTATGAGGTTCTGCAAGTCAATGTCATCCCGATATGCTCTGATGTTGTTGTTTATAAAGAAATACAGCTGGTCTTTGATCCAGTCTTTGAAAACAAATGCTAGAACTCCAGCAGTGAGCTCCAGGAAGAAAATAATTCCCAGGAACACAGAAAACTAAGACAAAAGACACATACACAGAGAACAGTTATAAGGGCTATTTTGATCATATGTAGCCAAGTGGTTCCTCTCTAAACAGGTCTGTCATTACATTGGATTGTTACACATCTCCAAAGCAGATAATCTTCAGTTTCTGCAGATTCATTAATAGAATATTACACTCCAAGAAAGGACTTTTAAAAATTAATAATCATTTCATAATCACATTTTAGGGTCTCTGGTGTTCCATTTGGTAATTAACCAACAAAGCCCATAAGCAAACATGGATAATAAGAATTTCTCATTAGACCCACATTAAGGCCTAATGAATTTCTCATGATTAATGTACTGCCAGATGCTTGAGCAATGACCTGCCCCTGTCTCTAGTAAGCATCTGTAACTTGAAAGATAGATCATTCCAATATTTTAAGATCACCTGTCATTTGTTACTGTGGCCTTGATTCTCTCATGCAATATATTCCTTTTATGGATTCAGACACTACTTTAATACTCCTTTGCACCTGCTATACAGGGGAAAGTAACAGATGTGTTCACCTTAGACGAAGGGGTCAAAGAGGAAGTAGTGGGGTGGGCAGTGACTATGACATGAAAATAGTTTCCCATCATAAAAACAAAACAGAACCCCAGAGTTGACGGCTTTCTTGGGAATGGTAGCTGTGCTTACCTTCCTGTAGGAAGCACAGGCCCCAGCAACGTTTTAAGTGACATCAAAATGCAGCCGAAGGGAAACTTCTGCTTAAGGTAGACAACAAGGGGTTGAAAAGAAGGGCTCAAAGCCATGAGGCCATGTGGTAACTGCCCGTAACTCTGGAGAAATTTCCCTTCCATCTAGAAAACTCAGCAGAGTCTCAGCTTAGTCATATCGACCTTCTGCTCACACCCACTGTTTTTTCCACCTCCTACCATCCTGTATTCTCAACCTTCTCAAACTTTGTTGTTAAAATAGATTATGAGAAATGAGCTGTGAAGGACCAGAGGGTACACTGTGGGTAAACTTCTGGTAACAACAGCAGAGAGGGTGACATGGGGCCACAACTGAAGGCCGCGTGCAGAACAGTGAGCATCTGAGGAGGCAGAGGGTGCTCAGGTCTGCAGTTCTGTCTTCAGCAGGCAGACAAGGAGCCACCAGCCAAGAGAAAAATATATTGGGAGGGATGCAAAGGAAACAACAGTTACTCATTAAAAGAAAAAAGCCAAAAAAAAAAAAAAACATTTATTCATTCAGCAAACATCTACTGAATGATCCACAATGGGTCAGGCCCCGAGGTAGGTGGGCTTTGCAGAAGCAAGGATGAGTAACACCATACCCCTTGCCTTCAAAGGTGTCCCTCAGTCTTATGTGATCAGGGGGAGGCTAGGAGCAGGGAGTGGAAAGGATCATTACACATTAGATGTCCACAGATCTGACAAGTGTTTGTCTAGGGTGCCAAGTACTGCTTTGTGAGGGTGGGCATGGGAGGAGGGGTGGAAGGTGGAAATAAGTGCCTGGCAAAGTTTTTGGACTCCCAGGTTTAGGCCCCAATTCTAGAACCTCCAGCTCAGCCCTTCAGGTCTCCCTAGAGTTCCTGCTTATATACCTTTCATGAATTCACTGGAAATGGAATTTAAATAGTTCTTTCGGCCTCCCAAACTGCTGGGATTATAGGCATGAGCCACCATGCCCAGCCAAAATTTAAACAAGTTTTTAATGATCATCAGCGATGCCAATAATTTCAATTTAAACTTCTGCTCAGTGCTTACCCTACAGTGTAAATAACTGCCTGGCCTGTATTAGGCACCACCTTTAGCACGTCAATATGAATTACGAATTATTGTACTACCGAAATGACAAAATTAGAGCTAGCATGCAGGAGCACATGTAGGAAACACCAAGTCAGGGAAAGATTTTAATTCGATTTTTGTTCTCACCTCCACAAAGGTTAAGTGCATTTTCCAGTTCCCCTGGTAATTTTTCTCCTCATGTTACATAATGTACATACCAAAAATTGAGTCCAAATTCAATTCACATAAAATATTTGGTAGATAGCTACATGCCCCAGGCCCTGCTGAACTAATTTCCCCTATTTCCAAAGGTGCAGAGACTGGCTCACAGGCATCATCCTAGGGCCTAAGCCAACCAGGAAGCTCCATCTGCTTTTCGCAGCATCCCAGTTCTTGGATTTTTCCCTCAGCAACTCTCCCTGCGGCGGCACATCTTTAGGCTATTTGGAGTCCTGTGGACATTTAATTACTACTTATCTCAGATCTCCTGCTCGAAGGTTACTCCTGGCCAGTTTTTATTGTTTGTATTAAATGGAGAGAGAAGCCATTTAAGACATTTTCCAAGTCTTAAAAAGCCCAGAAACAACACAGTTCTCTTCATTTCCAACATGAGACTTTATAAATACGGTGCTGATTTAGACAAGTGTGTATTTTTCTGCCTATTCAGTTAACACTGGAATCTTCAACTATAAGAAATAATAAATTATAGTAAAGGGTCAACCACTATAAATGAAACTATAGTCAAGTAAGTCACAATTAAGGGGACTGGACAGGTGCAGTGACTCACACCTGTGATCCCAGCACTTTGGGAGGCCGAGGCAGGCGCATCACCTGAGGTCAGGAGTTCAAGACCAGCCTGGCCAACATGGGGAAATGCTATCTCTACTAAAAATACAAAAATTAGCCAGGCATGGTGGTGGGTGCTTGTAATACCAGTTACTTGGGAGGCTGAGGCAGGAGAATTGCTTGAATCCAGGAGGCAGAGGTTGCAGTGAGCTGAGATGGCGCCACTGTACTCCAGCCTGGACAACAAGAGTGGAACTCCATCTCAAAAAAAAAAAAAAAAAAAGAGGATCCCACATTCTGGGGCATAGAGGCCGAAACTGATAAAACAGTGGCAACAGCTGAGCATGACTAGGACCCAATCAGGCTACAGGAAAGCTGGCAAGGTGAGCTGAGCACTGAGATGCCTCATGCCAAGAAGACGGGCAGGTTGGAAGGTGGCAATCAGGGACAGGGCTCTCCTGGGGGCTCCCCAGGTCTCTTGACTAGGTGAAGAATGAAGCATTTGGTTGTATGTGGGGTGGGGGGAAAGGGGGGATCTGGCAGATAAGGCAGATGGAGTCTTAGGAAACTAGCTACAGCCACTTTGGTCCCATGCATCCAGAAGAGAGAACCAGCTGCTTGCGCACTTATCTGTAAGACCAAGTACCCCTCGGTTTTCCTTGTTAGAATGAGTCATGCTAACTTTCAGGTTAAACAGCCTCCAAAACCTTCTCTGAGCCAGAGCTGCTCAGATTTGAAATGGGCTGCCCTGGGTGGGGCACAGCGAGTCCCCTCTTCTCAGGGATGTTTAAGAAAAGATGCCAGAGGATGATGTGGCAGAAATGCTGGGGAAGAGAATCACACATTACATGACTATTGGGCTAGTTCTTGGAGTTTTTGTAAACAAAAATGTCCCTGGATGATGATGTGTCAATAAAGGCTGGGAATAATTCTGGTAACTGGTAATATTACACTACAACTGTTGTCTAGAAATCTCCGCCATCCTTCCTCACCACATGAAGGTGGGTGCTTTTGATCTTTTTCCCTGTTCTTAAAAAGGGGAATGGATGCTTCATATAGAGGGCTGTGATTCAGATGCTCACCAGAGCGCCAAGCTCCTTGCTGACAGGCACATTTGGCTACATTCACCAACCCTATTTGAGATACATAAATGGCACATGCCATTTTCTTCTCCTTTGAAAGGAGTCTCCAAAGCAAAGGCTTTCACTTTTCACACTCTATTTTAACTTTAAATGCCAATAAACCCCCTGGAGAAACCTCTCCTCTACAAACATGCACTCAGACAGTGATCACACCAGCTGCACTGCATCTAAACATCATGCTAGTCATACAAAGGAGGACTTTGTGCTGGCTAAGGACAAAAGAGATTTACCTTTTACTCTTTCTCTATATTCAGCGAAACTTACTGCTTAACAGATTTAATCTGGACAGGCCACAGCCACTGTGCTTTTGCCTGGTTTCTCCAAATCCATGGCCTGCACAGCTCCCCACTTACTATGTGCATAAAAGTGTGGGGAGGAATCACTTAGAAGAAAAGTATATATACATACCTTAGTCCTAAAGGTATCTTAGGGAATGGAATCCAAGTCTGTGATATATACGTACGAAACCTCCATGGATGTCACGGTGGGGAGTGGGGGTGGTAATATACTTATTAAGGAGGCAGGACTGGAAATCAGGGCTAGAGAGCTCTCTCAAAAGAAAATCACGACCTGGGCCCTACTTTTGCCAGTGCCTTTGGTACAGCTCACTGTCATGCCTATAGATAGGGTGACCTCCTGAGGGAAGGTAAAGTTTTGGCTCTCAATCTGAGAGTAGAGAGTGGGATACTTACAAACTTGAGAAGGAAAGTGTTTTCCCGTAGCGCTCCAATGCACCCTGCAAATCCCAAAATGAACATCACTCCTCCCACCACAAGGAAGAGCCAAACTGGGTCAAAGCCGCCGAGATCGGTGATGGAAGAGATGTTGGACAGAACTCCCTGGGAGCAGAAAAGAACACACAACAAGGCACCGGGACGTGGGGTCAGTTTTCCAACATGTAAGGATTATTGCATTTGTCTTTTCCCCCCGCAAAGAAAACCTTCAGAGAGCATCTGATTGTCAGGTATGTGATTAATATTCAAGAGGGGAAAGAAGGAGAGAGAAAAAGAGAAAGAGAGAGAAAACATGAGAGAAAGAGAGGGAAAGAAAGGGAGAGAAAGTGAGAGAAAGAAGAGAGGAAGGAAAGAAGGAAGGAAGAAAGGGAGGGAAGGGGAAGGGGAAAGGCGGGAGGGGGAAGGGGGAAGGCGGGAGGGGGAAGGGGGAAGGGGAAAGGCGGGAGGGGGAGGGGGGAGTACCAAGTAGTGGCCACACACTTGCTTCCCAGTACTTCCCAGTCAGCACTGATCAACATCTGAACTTGAGAGTTTTAAGTTTTAATACATTTAAAGGTTGTGGGTAGGAATATTCAGAGAAGGGTATTTTGTTTGTTCTTTTTTGTCTGTTTGTTTCTTCCTTTGAGGGGGTGTCAACTTACGAACAAGAATAGGATATCAATGACAGAATGCATATGGAGAATTAAAAACTCTTAAGCTATAAAACAAATGTAATTTTTAAAAGTCTAAGGTTTAAATAAAGTCACAGGCAAAGGGTTGAGAGACTATTAAAGCAGTTAGGGTTGAGGGTGTATTCCTTAACTTCTGGGGTGACATCACAGAAGGCAACCACACCCTTCGGGAGGCTGCATAGACCAAAGGCTTGATCCAATTTTGTGTTTCTTAGGTTTCCAAGCAGAGAACTATGAATATTTACTCCAGGGGGAAAAGTTTGCAGGAAAACACAGAAACACTCAAACCAATTCTCCACCTGTACAAATGATGCTGAGAAGAATTTGCCAGAGAAGGCAGACAAAATCCAAGCAACAGGCTGGGTGCAGTGGCTCACACCTGTAATCCCAACACTTTGGGAGGCTGAGGTGGGAGGATTGCTTGAGGTCAGGAGTTTGAGACCAGCTTGGGCAGTATACTGAGACTCTTTGTCTATAAAAATAAAATAAAAAAATCTAAGCATCAATGGTAAAGGCCCAGGGTTGTTACGAAACCAGGCTCTCCCCTGAGAACGCCTTTAACCACAGATGTTTGTACCTGAAGTTTTCATGTTATGAACCTTCTCAGCCACAAAAAGAGAAAGAAGACTTTGGGGATACATGAAAACATTCTTGGAAGATTTTAAGTTTAATTATGGGAGAAGAAACACGGTTAACTTAGCACCAGAATGAAGAGGTAGCAGTAGAAGAACTGACAGAGAGAGATGTCAGTTCCATCATAAAGAGGCATTTTCAATATCAACAAGTCTGTTCAATGAACCAAAGAAGGCTGCCCTGAGAAATATGGGATTCCCCAACAGGGATGCTAACGCCATGAACCTTTGTCAACAGCATTCTAGCAAAGATCCCCAAATTGGATGGGAAATAAGGCCTTAATGTCCTTTAAGATTCCTTTCCAGACTGTTCTATGATTTCGACCATTTTTAATGGGCTTTTTAGTTGCAGCTCACAAGTCCGAACAAAGATCAGATTGCTCCCAAACCCTCACCCAGGATCCATGGTTGTTCATAAAGAGCTCAGTGGGTAACAAAGGCAACGATCTGAGCAACCCAGCAAAGCAAGCAACAAGCTAGCAAACATACCTATGGCCGAAATATCAAAATAGTCCCTCCCCCAAAGACAAAAACGTATGATCCCAGCTGTCAGGAGATTCCTAGATCATTTGCACCCTCAGTTTAATTGGGAGGATGAAAACTGGCTTAAGAAAAACTCATTTTAATACGTACTCTCCCCGGCCTGCAGAGGCGGTTTTAATTGAGAGGCCTTCAGCTGTTTCCACGGAAACAACAATCATTTGGGGGCTTAGCTGGACTGCAGGTTCTACTTATTTAATACTAAATTCTGGCAAAGATAGAGCTGCAAACAGATACTACGGAGAGCTAGGGGGAACTAATCTCCCACAATGCATAGGAAAGACTACCAACAACTTTATTTTTAATGGATTCCGAATATACACAAGTAGTTACCAGTTGAAAACTAACTCAAATCTTTTTTTTTTCCCCTGGGGTGGAAAGAATATATCCTTTATTTATGTATTTAAATTTATTTTAAATTAAAAAAACTGAAATGGACATAAAATTTTATGTATTGTCCATGTCTTGAATATATATATTCATTATATATATATATATATGTATGTATACATAGAGTGGAATGACTAAAGCTGGCTAGTTAGCATGTGCATTACCTCACATAGTTATCATTTTTGTGCTGAGAACACTTTACATCCACTCAGCATTTTTCATGAATATATTATGAGCTATCATCACTACCTCAAATCTTGAAACACAAGAAGTGAATGTGAAAGTCAATGCCCAACGGCCAGTACTTTTCCGCTTGGGATTAGGCTTATTTACCTAGAAGGAGAGAAAAACAGACTTATTATTTCACCTGTGCAGTTTCCCAACATTCACTGAAGGACAGCAGTTTTACTGCTTTTTACTACACAGAGGATTGGGAGGCTGAGGCAGGCAGATCACGAGGTCAAGAGATGGAGACCATCCTGGCCAACATGATGAAACCCTGTCTCGACTAAAAATAGTCAGGCATGGTGATATGCGCCTGTAATCTCAACTACTTGGGAGGCTGAGGCAGGAGAATTGCTTGAACCTGGGCGGCGGAGGTTGCAGTGAGCCAAGATCACACCGCTGTACTCCAGCCTGGTGACAGAGCAAGACCCCACCTCAAAAAAAGAAAAAAAAAAAGAGGAGCTGGTCATAATCCTGGCAGCAGTGATTTGGATCACAAAAATGATGAGGCGTTCAGTCTTCTGTTGTCCTAAAGATGAGGTCTTTCTCTGGACTTTTTAATCTCCTTAAGCTCAATTTGACAGATGAGTAACAAGTGCTAGTATATGCTTGCTGAGAGTAATTATAATTAAACCTTGTAGTTGACAAGAAGCTGGAAGAAGAAAAAATCTAAGATTACAGTTAAGTCTGCCAAGTAATATAAAATAGGCACTCATATTCACGGTAAATCCTCAGGAATGTGCAAGAACATCACCAGCAGACACCTAGTCTTCTGGGAATGTGAGGGCACCCCCCTTCTTCTGGGAAGAGCACCACCTCCTCCCTCCTCCTTGCTCCTCCGTTCACTCCACGACCCCTCAGAGCTGCCAGGATCTCACATGATCCCGCTGGCCTGGTGAGGGCTGAGAAGTCTGGATTCCCTTCCTGGAGTGCCAGGAGTTAGAACAGGCACCTTTCTCTAGTGGCTAAGACTCTAAAATGTTAAACTCCAGAGCCTTGTGAAGCATGTCATGTTTCTTACCACACGGAGAAAGTCAGACTGCAATGAGAATAGAAAATCAGTGCTCAGGAAGAAACAAAGAACAAGAGTAGGGAGGGAAAATCCAGACAGCATTATAAATCCCTGGTCCAGTGGTTCCTGAGGCCTGCCCTAGAGTTATATATGTCACTCCAGGAGCCTTAGATACACTCCCTTGGTTGCTCACGCCGGTTCTTTTTGAGTCTTCATTTGCATCTGAGAAGTCCTGCACAACAGAAAAGCTTTGAATAAAGTATGCTTCAGTCCTCCATGCATGTAAACACATACACAGACATGCACATAGACTTACAGACACGCACATAGACACACACACACACACACACACACACACACACACACACACAGAGCCAAAGCTGGGAAAACATGTGGGAATAGGGAGCAAAGGGATGCACCGGGTTTTAAAAGGTTACTTTCCCCTGCCGGCTGATATTTCAAGTCAACGTGGTAATTAAGCCAGTGTAAACAGTCTTCATTCCTGTTAACTCACTATCAATTCAGCATCATCAATGAAATTAGCAGTTCTGGGGAACTTTTAGGTGCTTTGTCTATGTTACTGACAAATAACGCATAGCATGATTTAATTTCCAATTCTGCATGCAAACTTGAATGTTCAGCCCTTGAGTTTAAATACCAACTTTTAAAAACTCAAACATGGAAAAAAATCAATACACTGGGAGTCTGAGGTAGGGGGACTGCCTGAAGCCAGAAGTCTGAGACCAGCCTGAGCAATAAAACAAGACCCCATCTCTAGAAAAAATTTAAAAATAAGTCAGGTGCAGTGGTTGTGTGCCTGTAGTCCTAGTTACTTAGGAGGCTGAGGCAGAAAGATCACTTGAGCCCAGGAGTTGGAGGCTGCAGTGAGCTATGATCATGTCACTGCACGCCAGCCTGGATAACAGAGTGAAATTCTTTCTCAAAAAATAATGAAACATAAATAAGTAAATAAACGAATACAAAATGTTATTCAAGTACTCTCTTCTGTACCTAGAACTGCTGTTTATGCCAAAAGTACATACACAGAGCTTGGCATCTGTATTCCTTAGGAAGTTCTCATCCTTCTCCTACCTGAATCCTACTGGCAAAGCAAGCCCTGGGAGCTAACGATGTGAAGGGTACTAGACGATGCAGATAACATTAGAAAATATCCCCTGAAGCTGAATCCAACTGGAATGAGGATAATGAGTGAGAAGCAGAGTAGGGGCCACACATACTTATTTCCATCTGTTCTAGTCGACATCTGAAAGTGAGATTCTGAACAACAGTAGCAGAAAGAGAAAGATTCACAACAAGAGAGAGAGTCTGTACCAAGACTGTAGGTGATAAGAAAAATATACTCAAGAGGATCTATTCAGAATGCTGTGTGGGAAGAATCCCTATACGTGTATCTTATTACACATTAAGATTATATTAGTAAGAACTGATATAAATGAATATATTCATAAGAATTCTTCATATGCAGACTATATGCTTTGTCAGTATTCTTAGGATCCTTAATCTTCTCTTCTCCTCTCAAGTCTGCAGCTGCTGCAGCAGCAAAGGCAAAAAACAAATTGACCATAACATAAAGTGCTGCTATAGAGACAAGATGAATACCAGTCCATTTAAAAA